AAAGCTAAAGGAAGCTAACTATTATAGGGACAAAAAAATAATAATGCAAACCAAAGTGAAAACATTTCTACTTAATTGTGTAGGCACTGAATGAAAAAGAAGTGAGAGAATCATTGCATTTGACTTGAAAGCTAGGGATGATTCCAACTGGACTGTGAATGGTGGGTAATAGTTTTTAAGGTGGGAACATAAAACCCTATGGAGGGAAGAGTAAGAATAAACATAGGGAAGTTTCTATTCTCAATTCTGTGCTCCATTTTTGGTGAACAGTGTAACTATTAGAATACAGTGCATACAGAGACATGGTGGGCAATGAGGCCAGAATAGGTAGCATTCAGCACAAGGAAGGTCTCCTCCACTTTTCATGAGATTAAACTGGACCCACCTAGAAGATCCAGGATAATCTTCCCACTGCACTGTCCTTAACTGAATCTCATCTRTACACTATCCTTAACTAAATCTCTTCTGTACACTCTCATCTGTACAATTTTACATGTCAAGTGGTATTCATAGGTTTTGAAGATTAGGATATGAATGTTTTGGGGGTAGGTAAAGAGAGCATTATTCTGCTTACCATAGGTGTCTCAAATCATGAAGGGACTTTGGAAAAATATATTTGAGACTTGGTAATATGGAGTATTATTCTAATGATAGCAAATGTAATTATAACAGGTCAGAGTGGATAGTTTGAAATAATCAGATCTAAATGTTATTGGAAGATGTGACCTCAAAGACAATCTAAATATTTTAATGATTTGTGAGCCCTTGTATTAACCTGTGTATTTACCACTACTGTTTGCAAACAAATCAATGTGTAAGATTTACAATTTAATCTTTAATTTTGGTCTTGGTTTTCCTTTCCATTAATACCATTAGTGATATAAATGCCATTCTGAGTATCTTTGAACTAGCAAAAGAAAGTGTTAATAATACCTTTGTTTTTTTTTTAAAGAAAAAGGCAAAAACCTAATAGATAAATTGTGATATTGTTAAAAATACAATTTATGAAAAAAGACTCTCATAAAGACATTTTCGTTGACTAAAACAAAGACATTTGGTTGGAATATGGCTTATTTCACCCACCACAGTCATTTTTAGGTAAACAATTTTTAAGCACCAAAGTGATACAAAGCATTTACATGTCTTTGTTGCTTAATTAATTKGTTAAGCAGATTTTATTAAGGGTCTGCTAAATGCTACTTAGCAACTGTGACGAAAGCAGTAAACAAAACAGGCAGAAATCCCTGCTGTTATGGAAAGAAGTGAAGATGAACATATAAGAACTKAATGAATTAAGTAGCATTTTAGTCAGTGATAAGTGCTAAGGGGAAAAAATGAAGTGGTAACTTAAAATTGTAGGGGAGATGAAATTTCTGCTTGTGAAAAATCACTGAGAAGTGACTACAGGAAGTGTAGATGTTGACCACAATTTTTGCAGTAGGACTCTGAAGCTTAGCCTACTCCAATTGACTGGTACCAGTTCTTCTGTCCCCTGAGGTCTTTACTCATCTACTACAGCTGCCAACCACCTTCAGGAACACTGGGAAGGTCTGTGGATCAGCAAACATGGGTCATATGCTCCCTCCACCCTCCAGRATCTCATACTGGGGGAGCCAGGGCTTAGATTGTCGTAATCTGAGGTACCAGATGATCAATAAAACTGTACGAGAGGTCAGTGATACCTGAGATGTGCTTCAGCATGAGTTCCATTTATCTCTCAAAATGGCGAAGAGCCAGAAAATTGTTCAATCTGCGTAATTCTCAAAACAGTTCTTCAGAGGAATAGCTGCTCACAGCTGCTTTTTGATATATATATTTTTTTCTTTCTGTTCTTATGCTATCAAGCAAGAACCTAAAGCAAATGAGGGAAAAGGCCAGTGTTCTCGGAGCATCTTGTCCACCTGCATTATTGGCAGCCTGTGAGTGAAGAGAGGTCTGTGTCTTGGCTACCTCTGGTGAGTCGTCCTCCACACAGGGCAGGCTGCACACGTACACTGGTAGCCAGAAACTGCTGTTGGGAAACACAGGAGCCTTGTCTGGAGTCTTTTTCCTTATGTCCTTGCCTGTCAGTCAGTCTCTAGCCACCTGTGTTCCTTCCATTATGTTTTTGTTCCTTGTAATAAAGCGTTTTTTTCTTTCCTTAAGAATGAGCATAAAGATACCCAGAAAATAAAGCCAGGTGCCCATTAGCAAGCAAGCAGATGAGGCATCCCAGCCTCTCTTGCAGGTCTCCCAAGAGGAAAATGCTGCTGCTGACATGAATTGCAGAGGCCAGACAATGATTCTTAGGGAAGATAAACAGCCTGTGATTCCCTCCTGACGGCTCCCACTCCTCTCCTCCATGACCGATCCTAGAGCAAAAGGTCACGGGGATAATTCTGCACCTGCACCCTGGGAGGGCCTTACTCAGTCCTCAAAAAAAAAAGAGCTCCCCCGTAATTGATGCTAATTATTATTGAGCCAAATGCATCCTTTCATTGAGGGGCAGGTGGGAGTCTCTGTCACTGTCAAGGCCATTATACCAAGAGCAAGTTGAGAATTCTTCGCACAGATGTACATATGCCCAAGAAATCCCCAGTGTTGTATATAGGCTGTTCATAAAGAATATATCATCAGAATTTCTTCAGCCCTGTAATGAGATGTTCAGGGTCCAGGTGAATGACAAATGCTACCCAGTACTCAGGGCCAGAATACTGAGCGGAGAGGCATGATTTATTCATAAGTGCTTGAACTCTACTGCTGGGCGTCTGGGTTGCTTGTGAGATTTTGCACCCTGCCATCTGCGCTCTGAGAGAGGTTAACAACAACTCTGGAGACCTTGGAACCCTCCGGAGATTTGCTTCCAAGGACATTCATCTGCTTTCTTGTGACTTTTATGGGAGGATTGGCCCAGTGAGGAGGATGAAGAAAGGAGGAAATGAAAGGAAATTCACCCAGCTGTAGGTAGAGCATGACTGGATTTAGCTAAATGCCAGAGTGTACCTGGGGACTTTCCTTTGACATTAACCACCCCTTGTTTTGGAGAAGAATTTAAAAGAAAGCTATTTTTTCTTGTTTCAATCCATCATTTTTTTTCCTTTATCCCTCTTGGGTTACAACTTAATGTGTTTTAAAGGTCTCTCTTATATGCCAAAATAGCATTGCAAAAGTATACCATGATAAATTGTACTCATGTTGATAACTTATTCCCAGCTTTTATTTTACCTTTGTATTTGTAAAGATACAGCTATAYTTCTTAAACCCACTATTATTGGAGGAAGAAAGATCTACTTCTTTACTCATGTATCAGAGAATTACTGTACTCATGCTATTTTCAGGGCATTTATTCTGGGTTCTAATTTCTCTCTCTCTCATCGTTTTTTTCCCCTTCAGTTGTTTGAAGATGTAGCCCACTATCTTCAAAGCTTGCATTGTTTCCAGTGAGAACTCTCATGTCATCCTTATCTTTGTTCCTCTGTATGCAACATGTCTTTGTTTATTTTGCCCGGATGTTTTTTAAATTTGAGTTTAATTTAGATTACAGGCAATGAAATTGTGTGAGACCTTGGTGTAATTTCTTGAAGTTTCTTTTCCTTAAGCTTGTTGTATGGTTCTATGAGTTTTTCATTTTTTTAATAAAATTTGGGAAATTTGGTATTTCTTGAATATATACATTTGTGTATGTTAATTTACAAACTTAATTGTTTGTAAACACACATTTGGGTTAAAGTAGACTCCTGGTGAAGTTCAATGGGAGGATAGGATGTGGTTGCCAGATTGTGAGGATTTTCTCCCAGTGTGAGTGGTCCCGATTAATTCTGTGCTCTTAAACTAGTTGGGGTACAGTGATGCTTTAAGGAATGTATTTATTCACATATATTTTGAGAATATTTTTTAGGGGGGGGGACAGGCACCAGGGATTGAATTTAGGGACACTTGACCACTGAACCACGTCCCCAGCCCTATTTTGTATTTTATTTAGAGACAGGGTCTCACTGAGTTGCTTACAGCCTTGCTTTTGCTGAGGCTGGCTTTGAACTCATGATCCTTCTGCCTCAGCCTCCTGAGCTGCTGGGATTATAGGCCTGTGCCATCACACCCAGATATTTTGGGAATATTTTTTAATGACAAAACACTCACATCATCTGTGTTTTCTACTAAAGTGACAAGAACTTAAAGYCATCAAACTGGAACATTTTTTAACATCTTTATTATTTCCATCCCTTTATCCCAATTATTCACCCCATTGTCTGACTCACATCTATTTTTCAGTGATATTACTGATTCTCTTTATCATAATACTTTAAAACAGGTTTAGCTGAAATGACTTTCTTTGTGCTTACATTTCAATTGTTTATGTAATATTTAAATTATATAGTTATAATGAGTGCAGTAGGCATACACAGTTTGGGAACTAAGATRCCTTATTTATGTATTTACTTCTTTGCTGTGCTGGCTGGCGGTCTAACCCAGTGCCTTGTATGTGCTAGACAAAGGCTCTCCCACTAAGCTATTCCCCAATCTTATTTATTTATTTATTTTTAAAATTTGAGATAGGATCTCACTAAGTTGCCCAGGCTGGTTTCAAACTTGTGATCCTCCTGCCTCAGCTTCTCAAGTAGCTGGAATTACAGATGTGTTCACTGTTCCAGGCTTAAAAYAACTAATTCTTATTAGCATACAATTTAAGTGGTAGGTTCAAAAGTGCAAGGACAGGGATTTCAACTATGAGCATCAGTCTATGTTTAAGAAGGAAGTGGGCTCTGATTTATCTGATGTTAAATGGACACAGGTCTAAAAGACTTTGTTATAAATACATCATCATCCCTTGTACCACAATAAACTTCTACAATTCTTTGTCCCCTAGGATATAGGGATCAGTGTGATAAGCACAGATAAAAATATGCATAATAGAATGAAATTAAAAGGTCAGAGACAGGTTAATGTATGCATGTATGATAAGTAGAGTACCATAAACAATGGAGAAAAGATTATTTTCTTGGCCGTCCCTAGGGTCAGAGATGGCGGCAACAGCAGCTGAGGCTGCAGCTKCGGGCTCTGGAGAGCCCCAGGAAGAGGCTGAAGCCCTGGGCCCCGCCTGGGATGAATCGCAGTTGCACACTTATAGCTTCCCGACCCGGCCCATCCCTCGTCTGAGTCAGAGCGACCCCCGGGCGGAGGAGCTCATGGACAATGAGGAACCTGTAGTGCTGACTGACGCAAATCTTGTGTATCCTGCTCTGAAATGGGATCTTGAATACCTACAAGAGAATATTGGCAACAGGGACTTTTCTGTGTACAGTGCCAGCACCCACAAGTTCTTGTACTATGATGAGAAGAAGATGGCTAATTTCCAGAACTTTAAACCAAGGTCCAACAGGGAGGAAATGCAATTTCATGAATTTGTTGAGAAACTGCAGGATATACAGCAGCAAGGTGGGGACGAGAGGTTGTATCTGCAGCAAACACTCAATGACACTGTGGGCAGGAAGATCGTCATGGACTTCTTGGGTTTTAACTGGAACTGGATTAATAAGCAACAGGGAAAACGTGGCTGGGGGCAGCTGACCTCGAACCTGCTGCTCATTGGCATGGAAGGAAATGTGACACCTGCTCACTATGATGAGCAACAGAACTTCTTTGCCCAGAGAAAAGGCCATAAGTGATGCATCTTATTCCCTCCGGATCAGTTTGAGTGCCTCTATCCATATCCTGTTCATCACCCATGTGACAGACAGAGCCAGGTGGACTTTGACAATCCTGACTACAAGAGGTTCCCCAATTTCCAAAACGTGGTTGGTTATGAAACAGTGGTTGRCCCTGGTGATGTTCTTTACATCCCAATGTACTGGTGGCATCACACAGAGTCATTACTTAATGGAGGGAATTACCATCACTGTGAACTTCTGGTGTAAGGGGGCACCTACCCCTWAGAGAATTGAATATCCTCTCAAAGCTCATCAGAAAGTTGCCATAATGAGAAACATTGAAAAGATGCTTGGAGAGGCTTTGGGGAACCCACAAGAGGATCTCACCAAGTTGCTAAGGCTGGCCTTGAATTTGTAATCCTCCTGCCTCAGCCTCTTGAGTTGTTGGGATTATAGGTGGGACCTTTGTTGAACACAATGATCAAGGGCCGATACAATTAGCCTGCCAGGGGTCCAGGCCTCCTGTCAGGTTACTGCTATCCCGCCCACACCGCTTCGTTGATGAGGACAGGAGACTCCAAGCACTAGTATTGCACGCGGCGGTTAATGGACTGGACTCTTGCCATAGCCCTGGAGGCAGGTGTTTGGGGCAAGGCAGGGTGGTTGGCACTCCACTCCCATTTGGAAGAACTTCTCACCCTTGCCTCTTGTGCCCCATCACTCTCCCTCTCTGACCTCCTAAAGTTCTGCATTCAGTGTGTGGAGTCCCAGCTTCTGGTTGTCATCACGTCTGTGTTTGTTAGTCTGTCAACTTCAGGGTGCATGTGTGTGTGTGTGT